CAAGAATTACAAGAAATAAGTTTATCGCTGTGAGCTCCGCAAATATGTACACCACAATTATTGCACTGTGTTTTTATTTTTTTGTCGACACTTCGAGGGCACAATTGACATCTACTTCTCTTCAAGGTGTTCACTTTTTCTGGCTGATGTTGCTTTGGAGTGTCAAGATTGTACCCTAAAGCAAGCAATCCACTTTTTGCCCCTTTTTGTATGCACCGCTTGTTTTGTAAACGTCGCTGAATATAAGTTTCTACCAATTCACGTCCTAAATCTAGTAAGAAAAAGCGTCTTTTCTGAGCCTTTCGTCCAAAGCTTTCGGGATTATGGCACAGCCAAATTACCATTGCAGCTATGCCGGCTACGTCGAGCATGTTAAAAAATAGTACCAAAGGCCACCTTTTGGTATTTCTCTTGCAGCTATATGTAGCAACCATTTTGTCCATTGTATCGACTGCTCCCTTGTTCGAATTATAATGCAAAATTACTTCTGGTTTTTTTTCTTCACCAATAACTGTGGCATCTTGATGCATTGTCGAAAGCATAACAACCGCATTTGATTTTTTTGGTACATAAGACACCACCGTTAACTCTCCTGAAAACCCGAACAAAGAAGAAAATACTTCACGAGAACGATGAGGTTGCATTTCCTTAGGAATTTCGACTTTATTTTTCCTCAAAGTTCCCACGTATGTTGTTCTCATTGATAATAGATCCTGCACGAGTGGTATACTTGAGAAAAAATTGTCAGCAACTACATTGCGCCCTTTTTTGGTCCACGTAGCCACCAAATCCTTTACTACTCTTGCACCCTGATTAACTTCTCTCTGATTTTGTGGCTGCTTTCCCAAATATACTTGACCTTTCAAAGGAAATGCTGTAACAGAGTCACATATCCAAAAGATCTTGATGCCGTATTTTGAGGGCTTGCTCTTGATGTACTGACGAAAAGGACAGTTTCCACGGAAGCCAACTAGTTGCTCATCTATAGTCATATCTAACCCTGGAGTGTAACTATTAGATAGTTGTTGAACAAACATATCCCAAATGTCGCGAATCGCTGCCAATTTATCGATGGATTTTCGTTCTGCCCTTGTGCATCTATTATCGAAACGGATAAATCGCATAATTGCCTGGAAGCGTTTGAGAGGCATAGTTGCTCTAAACAGAGGCCTTCCATGCACCTCAGACCATAGCTCACTTAGGTCTTCTCGTCCTGATCGATAAGCCCCTGCACTTATAAGCAATCCCAGAAACGCTTCGATTTCCGTTTGGTCCGTTTCTTGCCAAGTTTTCCTTGGTTTATCTTTGTTGGAGCTGTTCCATTCCGCATAAACCCTTTTAGCTTCCCTATTGGTTTCCCTAATTACAATATCCATAATTTGCTCAGTGATGAATATTTTTATAGAATCCTTTAGTGAATTAGGACGATTTCCTTTTGGGCCCGCTTTTTCTCGTACAATATTACGTGCAGGAGTTTGTCGTTTTGTTGGTGGATGTTTATGCCATTTCATCCCATTCTTTGCAGTAAAATACTCATCACAGCAATTATCATCGTCTTGAATTTCGTCGGAATCGCTATTCGCAATCACGTCATCGTAAAGTATCTCCTCTTCGACCACGTCTTCATCACTGTCATCCTCTTCTATCGAAGGAACATAATCTTCGTCGTCGCCAGTATCGCCAAGGTTTTCATGAACAGATTCTGTTTCATCCCCTATTTCAATTTCTTGATCCGATACCTCATCTATCATGCTTTCCAATATCTGCCTCGCCTGCTCGACGCTGTATTTCCTTCCATCACTAAATATAAACAAAAAGATGTAACTTACATTCACGGAACATGCTGTTTGTCTTCCATATTCAATAAATATAAATAATCCCGCCAATAAAAAGAAGCACAAAATGTATACTTACATAGTATAATCCATTTTGATAGAATTTACAAAAAACACACTATCTCCACTGCCGTCTTATCTAATACGCGCAACAAGTGTTACTGAAGTCAGTTGCACCCCCCTGCAAGTAAATCTACTCCCACCACCTTGAAATCAAAAGCAAATAGGCGGGGTCGTAAAAGACCCCAAGTGCCTATGCGCGTAAATTTTTACTTTGTTATTTTTTTTCAGAGTTACTTTTTCATTCTGTGGAACTAAACAGTAATAGATACATTTTATAGATCATTTGGGAAGACATTTAAAAGTATTGGCCCGAAATAGCTTGTTATCTTAATCATATGCAGAAAAATATAGCGAAGGGGTCCCAAAAGACCCCACGTGCCCAGCCGAAGGTTAATAAAGCACCTTAATAAGCAGGAGGATTGGGACGCGTCCCATTCCTCCTGGCGCTCCGTGTCCCAACCTTCCTGCAAGCACATGGTCTATTTATCAACTGCTAAACTCAAAAACGCAGTAGTGTTATTGCGCCAACCACGTTAATACATTGCCCAAATACTACATAACCCGCAGTAATTTTCATACTTACTTTCAGTCTTCAAAAACAATCAGGCCAATGATGGTATCATTTGGGTTATTCATAACTCCAATCGGTTCTAGCCGCTTAACGGAGGGATTTAACCGGTTCTTAAACGGAAATTTATTTTTGTGGTATGCTGTATCAATGGTGTAACCACATTGGTTTAAGAAAGGAACAAAGTTTTGTGATACAACAACTTCTTGAAGAAAAGAAAGCTACTTATGCGTGTGATACGTGTGTGACAAACAGAGATAACAAAAACATAAACGAGTTCGGTTTTGTTTACAGGTTATGCTTATGAATCACTCGTGCATACCTGGTTTGTTTTCAGTTTAGTTTTCACCAGTAAACGTAAGCCCAATGAATTTAAATAATAATGTGAAAGATGCTGACGCAATCGACGAAAATCCTGCAAAACGGAAACGTTTAAAAAAAACCACAAAGCAGTAGTACGAGGACTTACTGGAATTTGTGGGAAGCAACAGAATCCTACTAACCGGGAAGACGAATCCCAAAGAAGTCCATAAAATTACTCAATTGTGGGATGAATTTGCAAAAAGAATCAACGCCAAAGCAATAGGACCACCAAAAAGTGAATGGAAGACAAATGTAAAAAAAAGAGCCGCCAAATTGGAATGCTTCAGCAGGCGACGGGTGGAAGGCCACCAATTAATAAAGTGCTCACTTATCTGGAGGAGATGCTATTAGCTCTCATTTCCCAGATACATTTAGGGGATACAATAATCATTGATACCTTCGGAAATAATCGTAAGTAATGCTGCATTTAACATAAATGATTTACAATGTTGTGGTGCTGGCAGTTCGCCTACATCATCTTCCTCTTCATCTTGTGGGAATCTGTCATGCGACGCCATGTTGTGCAGAACTGCTGCTGATAAAATAATTTTTGATGCTCTTGTAGGGCTATAATGAAGGGTTCGATGCTTCATTAAGCACCTAAAACGTGACGTTAAGACACCCATTCAGCCGTTCGATAGTGTTGCGTGCTGAAATATGTGCAGCAGTATAGCGACCCTCTGGCGTATTTTCTGGGGCTCCTTCGACTGGGGTTAACAACCAAGGTTCTAGTGGATAACCAGAATCGCCTAAAAGGAATGTTACATTTGTTGTTGATAAAAAGGTAAATACCAATTAGCTAAGTAGATTGCAGCCCCTGCTCATTATATAACTGTTGTAAATAACGTTTTACTGCACTTAATGACCAGATTGCAGAGTCATGTACTGCTCCAGGAAAACGAGCGTTGCAATTTAATATACGTAACTCTGAATCGCATATCTGAAATCTGTCTTTAGTCTACATGTCATTACAGGTAGAACTTGCTTACTATTTGGACATTGATACTATAATATCCTTTTCTATTACAGTACGCCAAACCTGGATGTATTGGGTCATCTTTTGGTGGTGCAATTATTACAACACGAGTGCAATCAATAGCCTCAATAATTCCTGGGAAGTGAAACTTTTCCATGAATCTACAATTTCATTCGTGTTTATTTAATTTGTATCAACAATATTTTACCCTGCTTTTATTGTATTAAACTTAGCATCGGTTTGAGGAAATACGACCCATTCTCCTAACAGATTTTGCACAATTGCATCTGTAACCTTAGTTAGAATTCGAACGTAGATTGCTCCATTACAGTGACTATATTTCAGCCAACACACTTTTGGTAGCTTCCATGGCCCAAAAAGTATAACACACTTAGCACCTGAAATCTAAATTAAAAATTAAGTCCCCCTATCTGACTTTTCTCAATTGGGTATTGCCGAAATTTACAAATTTAAATGTATTTCAAAGCAATAAATCTATTATCTGTATCTATTAACTGGATTCGAAAGTTAAAGACGCTTATATTGCTTTGTTACATGGAACGACGGTATGTGACATCAACACCATTGAATGAAATTGATCCCCTAAATGAAACCCCTTTTTGTAATAAGCAATGCTTAATATTTGGGTACTGGAGTTATGCAAGCAATTAATACGAAATGTATAATTGATTACCCATAGTTTGTTAAAATTTTATAGTAGAGTCTACCAGTTTTTCAACACCAATTGTGCCCAAATTTTAAAAAAAGATATAATTTAAACGAAAACTCTTTTCTCAGTACAATAATAGTTCAATTTCGCGCTAGTGTTATATACAATCTTTTTTCTACAACTGAACCGATTGTTAATTAAATTTGCTTTTAAGTTCAACTTTGTCATGTGTGCGAAATACTTTTTTTCATTGTTGACGGTTTCGCGCACGTTTTCAAGAGCAACCTTACTTACCCGGTTAGTCCGGTTGTGAAAAAAAATAAAGCTGTCCATGATCCTACTGTTCTTCATGTAGGTCGCCATGTTTGAGGCGTGATATTGGTTAGTCACGTGACCCCCCTGCAACCAGCGACCGTGTACCCTTCACCACTACACGCCGTACACGTGACGTGAATGGCTTGAGTTATTAAAAATATTGCTGTTTGCAGTGTTTGTCATCAGTGCCGATTTATCCAAAGTAATATCATGAGTGATTTGCTGGTCAAGTTTGATAGGTAAGTTTTTTGTACTTGAAGTGACTTTCCTGCTTTGCATTGAACATTTAGTAACATGATAGTTTATGGTTCAATTGATTTTTGTAATTTTCTTCATTTCCAAGTCGTAAAATCTAACCGTCCTACATCTAGTCCAGTCCATCAGCGTAATTTTTTGGCGGTTTTGCATTACATTGCTTTGCTCTATTTGAAATGAGATGTTTGGTTTTAGGGGGTTTTCCCTACAACAGGCCCTTGCTATACTTGAGGAGGATGACGATCTAGTAATGGACGAGGCCGGGGAGATCAAGATCACCATATTTCCCCCCGAGAACGCTTGTGGGAATGTGACAGACGAGGATTCGGGCGCTGGAGACTCAGCCATTTTAGACAATTTACCGGGAAGTCAACTTCCAGCACCTGCTGAGGTCAACCTTCGTGGGAGTGTTGATGACAACGATCAAGGTAGAAGTGACAGTGAAGGTGCACTCCGTGGTAGGCCTCCACAACAGAAGACGCAAACGGGGACACGAAAGAAAAAGAAGAACTATAATTGGAAATTAAACAAAGATCTTGAAGCTGATGAGAGCATGTGGCCGGTAAAGGAAGGGCCGAGCAATAACCCTACACCTATAGAAATATTTTCTCAGTTCTTCCATGAAGACGTTTTGGACATGATAGTGAAGTTTACGAATCAATACGCAGCCAAACATAATAAGCTGGGGGATGTTTCAAATAATGAAATGAAAGCCTTCTTAGGCATCCTTCTTCTAAGTGGCTACGCTCCAATGCCTCGTCGGAAGATGTACTGGCAGAGTCAAAAAGACACGAACAATCAACTGGTATGTGAAGCTATGTCGAGAGACCGCTTCACCTTCAGCATGAGCAACTTCCATGTCTGTAACAACGATGAGCTCGACGCCAATGACCGGTTCGCCAAGTTGAGGCCGCTGTTCAAGATGATGAACGAGAGGTTCCAATCCTTCGCTCCGCACGAAGAGAACCATAGCGTGGACGAGACTATGGTGCCGTACTTCGGACGTCACGGATGCAAGCAGGGCAAGCCGATCAGGTGGGGCTTCAAGTTTTGGACTGGAGCTACCCCGAAAGGATACGTGGTTTGGTCGGAGCCGTACCAGGGAAAATCAAGTGTCAAACATGACTTTGGACTTGGCGGATCGGTCATCCTTGCTTACACGGAAGTGTTAAAAAATATGGACATGCAGCCATATCATATATTTGTTGATAACTTCTTCACGTCAATCCCTTTGTTGGAGGAACTGAAACGCCGAAGGTTTCGAGCGACGGGCACTCTGCGCGACAACCGGCTGGTGGACTGCCCTGTGAAGAGGAAGCAGGAGTTGAACAAGCAAGAAAGGGGCACGATTTCGTATGCAGCGGATACAGAGAAGAATATTGTCGTGGTCAGCTGGAACGACAACAACGTAGTAACAGTTGGCAGTAAAGCCTCCACTGTGCTGCCACTACGCCAGGTCTCGCGCTACTCGCAGAAACTCAAAAAAAGAATTGAAGTACCTCAACCGCACTTGATATCTGCATACAACCAGAGCATGGGAGGTGTGAATCGTAGCGACCAGAATGTCAGTTTGTACCGAATTTCAATCAGAGGCAAAAAATGGTACTTCCCCCTTGCCATGTACATTGTGGACGTTGCCGAGAACAACGCGTGGAACGTTCACCGACAGAATTCTGGCAGACTGGACCACCTAGAATTCCGTCGACAAATCGTGGCAGCTCTGCTTCCAGCAAACAAAAAGTCTGGCCAAGGAAGACATAGGATGTCCCAGGCCGAGCTGGAGAATCCTATGAGGTTTGACTGTTTGGAACACTGGGTGGTCCAGCAAGCAAAACAAACCAGGTGTGCTCATTGTCATGCTAAATCGACAACCAGGTGCGATAAGGGCTTCCATGTTAAATGTTTCATTGCCTACCATAAACGTACTTAGTTTGAAATAAAATTTTGAAAGTTGAACTGGATTTATTTCTAGGAAACGTATCCTCTCCTGTCTTCCTACCGTCCTATATGTAGTCCACTGGCAAAACTGCTGTAGTTCTGAAAGTTTTAACAGTAGTCCCAAAATTTCAACGGGTAGGTAATTAGAAAGAATGGATTCACATTTTAAGATGTTAAAAACAAAAATGTTGAATAGCAAAAGTTATCCGGACCTTGAGCTACCGAATTCTGGCGTTCTGACAAACGGTTAACCCAGTTGCACCTACCGTCCTATATGTAATAGGACGGTAGGTGCAACTGGGTTGTCAGGCAGATCTTACATCAGTGTGTGACATGTTTCAAATCAAATCCCAACTAATGAGTTTAAGAAATTATTTAAGTCAAAAGAATTCCAAACCAATTTTATTGATCAATTGTGTGTGAAAGGTATTCAGTGGCACTTTATTCCTCCCAGAGTTCCCCATTTTGGTGGGCTTTGGGAAGCAGGCATAAAATCGGTAAAAATACACCTTAAGCGAGTGAGTGGAACCGCTTTGTTAACTTACGATGAGATGTATACTTTGTTGACTCGAATTGAAGCGATCCTTAATTGACGTCCTTTACTTACATTAACCAACGATCCAAATGACTTAAACCCATTGACTCCTGGCCATTTTTGAAATGGTGACTCACTTACGGCAATTCCGGAAGGAGACGTCACCATGTACAAAGTAAATCGATTAAAACGTTTTGAATTAAGTCAACATTTCTGAAAGCGGTGGTCATCAGAATACTTATCCCAACTTAATCATCGTTCCAAGTGGAAAACCGGAAATCAAAACATCAAAATTGAAACCATAGTGATTGTTCATGAAGACAACATTTCACCACTACAGTGGCGACTTGGTCGAATTAGCGACACACATTAAAACACGCGATGGTGAAGTGAAACGTGCAGTGACAAAAATGAGTAGGTAAACTACCTATCGACGACAACGAGTGTTAAATGTTATAGTTTTAGTTCAGATTGTTAAGTGTTTTAGTTTTAGTCCTCATAGACAATGAATTCTTCTGGACGTAATAACATTGCATCTTAGTTAATTTTATACCTATCATTTTATTGTAACATCATCAAAATATCATTAGCCTACTTTAGAATTTGTAAAACTTTATATCAATATGTCTCTAATTTATATATTCATTTTGAAAGTATCTTTCAACGGGGGCGGCATGTTCCAGTCCAGGTTTCGGTCATGCATGCTTTATATTATGCACCCCAATTTAGTTAACTTGACATTTAGCGTTAAAGATAAAATATATTACTTAAGCTGCTTTCGTTTCACACTTGCGAATCGCTCCGAGCAATTCTCTGGTGTGTTCTTTTCTATTGGGGCGTAAAGCCTCGGAGGCGATATTTGACCATTTCCCCTTTCCCCTAAAGCCCTTGATTTTTTTTCGGGCGTCATGCCTAGTTTTGAATAATTGAGGTTAAGTAATCGTCTTATTTGCTATTGTCGGTAGTACGCTAAAGTTAGCGAAATATGGAATAACAACATTGCTTTTCAGCTTTTTGTAGGTATATCTGCTTCGCAATTTTAAAAATGGAAAATACGTTTATGTTGAGGCTGGAGGATGCAGAAACGGGCATAGCGTACAATCTACTTCTTCCTGAAAGTGATTTTGTAAAAGCACAAGAAGGCGAGGAATCTTTTTCATTCTACACATCTATGTACTTGAATTTTATTTTATATCCTTGTTCTTAGACTATGAGTTTGCTGCAAGATTACTATTCCATGCGAAATGTACTGCACCAAGACCTGGAACTTCCACAACACCTGCTGCTATACCTTCGACAACACCAGTTACTTTGATGCCATCTATCTAACTATCAAATTCCAAATTTAACTATTACTTTGAAAATACTCCAAATTTGGGGCATAAGGTTCAGATATACAACTGTTTAATATGCCGCCATGGGCACCAGCGACCCTAAATCATTCAGAAACGACCCCTAGAACGCCGAAATTCGTCAATTTTTACAGGTTAAAACCTTTGAACAAAAGTGTTCAAATTTTGAACCCACACGAAAATTTCGGTGGGTGCTGCGGGCCAAAAATTTTATTCGGACCTAATAAACATGTGTACCGAGTTTCATGCTTTTGTCACAAAGTGCAGCGTTTACCTCGATATTCAGTTGTACCGCCTACGCTATATTAACATTTCTTTGAATCGCACTCACTTCAGGCAAAAATTGAACAGCAACACTTTATTGGCTCGAAGAAGATGTTTCGATTTGATTTTTCTCTTTAAACTGATTAATGGTCATTGTGATAATTCCTTGCTGCTTCAAACAATAAACTTTAATGTACCCGAGAAACATCTTAGATACACTCACCTTTTCTCTATTAAATCCTCCAAAACTAACTATCTCAAAAACCTACCCATTGAGAGATTTATGTGTTTAGCTAATAGTTATCCATATATTGATCTATTCAATGTTTCTCCAAATTTACTCAAACAAAAGTTAAAATTACATCTCACATATGTTGATATGGATTTTTATCAGAAACGTTAACCATAGCACTTTTGGAATGATAATGTAGCATGTTTGTTTATTAAGAGTATGTTATAGGTATAAACGGTAATGTATATTATTATTGTGAGGTATTATATTAATTTAATTTAATTAATTTTGTATATCATGTTTTTTTATGTGTAATAAGCCTAAATGTATATGATGTTCCATCAGATATACGCTTTTTAATGAATGTGCTCTGGGTCACATTTACACACGTAAACTTTTTAGTCTTTCGTTTATCCCCGAATTCCATTCGTCTCGCATTTACTGCAATAAACAAATCCGCATCTAAGATGTAAATAGAATTGGGCTGATTAAGTCTAATATAGCGCTCTAGGTCTCTAATTTCTACCCCAGTGTCCTGCCACTGCTGTATAGATTCAACCCTTCCATCAAAAACTCCCACCAAATGAATACCTTTTAGAATACTTTCGAACTGAACGTCAAGTAAAAATCTCTGGAACTTCCCCGTCATTTTGTGTACCGTTGCAGACATCATACTTTAAACTTGTTATTGTTATAGGTAATTTATTATTGTTGTTCTTTTTTGGGGTTTTCCTGTAAATAAATATTATTATTAATTATTAATTAATTATCGTCACTGTTTATGTATCTACCTGCATATACAAATTTATCTGAAGTATTTTGTTACTCGTTTGAGATGCTAGAAGGGATTGTTCGATATATTTGATCAACATGTCGCTTCCACAATTTTTGCGAACCTAAAGTTTGACATAAGTATACCCGAGGGCCCAATACCTTATGAATTTTAGCTCGAGTCCAAGATCTTTTATTATTATTCCGATAATCCCGGATATCATCCCCCACCTCAAAGATTTCTTTTCTACCCTGTTTAGTAGGCTTTAATTCTACTGTCGTCTGTTTTTCCTTAGGTCTAACGTTATCTAGTCGGATTCAAAGTTCTCTACAAAACATCATACTTGCTGGAGTTCGTTTTGTAGTGCTATGCACCGATGTTCTGTAATTTAGAAAATATCGTGCAATTAAACAACTAGTAGAAACTACTACTATTTTGTTTGTCCGCAAAAGCTTTTATCAAGGCGTTTTTTACAGATTTCACTGCATTTTCGACTGCACCATTACTGCAGGATGGTATGGTGGAATTAAAGTATGTTTGATACCATTTAATTTGCAAAATTGTTGACATTCAAAAGATCTAAGTTGAGATCCATTGTATGAGACTATTTGATTTGCTATGCTAATCCATATTTCGAAAATATTAATCTGATTACATCAATAGTAGCATGTGCAATAGTTGTTGAATTTCAACTACTTCTGGCCATCGACTGTACAAATCAATTAAAACAAAAAACATTTTGTTCTTTATTGGTCCAAAAAAATCAATATGTACTCTATTCAATGGGTATCTTGCTTTATTGTATGACAAAACTTCAGCTTGAGCTGACGTATCGCCTGATGATGGACGAAGCTCGTCAGAAATCGATAGCGACCAATGAATAAATTTTAATAAAAATTAGTGTAATACAACTTCGTTAACTGTTAGGTAGGTATTAATTTAATTCACTGCAATTAATGTGTCAAAAACACTTACTCTTGTATTACTCGTGGGTGAAAATATTTATGGGTTTCACCCATTTTTTCTTAAGGGCATCATCATCTTTATGAAAAGCAAAGGTAGCAACTTTGGGTCCATCTTTATACACTGAGAAAAAAAGCAGTTTACAAGATGCTGGTTAAATTCCATCTGGTTCTTATTTCTAAAGTATTGTAAAAACATGCGAAAAAAATTACAAACATTTAAGACCTCATTGTACCTGCTGGAGATCGGGCAGTATTTCTCCACAACTTGGAAGAGTGGCGTCAAATTTTTCGATCAATTGAAGAGGTTAGTTTTTTATATGCGTTTATTTATGTATTTCAAACTAATGATTCTACCTTGGTGAATAACTATTCTGAAAATCGATATTGACCTGGTTACGTGCTTAATCCTTAGCAATCGGCATGAGACAATTAATTGAGTGACCCCCCCCCCCACTCCCGCTCTTACAGTTTTAATAAATTACTATATAGGGACACACGATAAAGTCTGGTCCGATTTTAATTAAAATTGACAACAAGCCTCTGGGAACGTATATAACAATTAATTTTGTTGTTGTATATATGTAGCCGAACTCATCTAACTTAAACGTTCCATCTGAAGATATCTGCCAGTGGAAGTTATGCAACAGAAACATATCAACCAGGAGAACCCGATTTTATTTCTGAATCGCCGATTCCTGAAATCGATTCCCAATTACGATCATCCTCCCAAGGGCCTTCCTTGAATCAGGAAATCATACAGGCGGTACCCATTCAAATCGTAAGTTCCTTAGCGACTATTTTGTTTCTTATATGATGGTTTTTCTCTCTATCGGGGGTTATACGATCTGCTTAAGGGAACACCGAATGGTCGA